AACGGACTGGTTATCACAAAACAGATGTGGTGGAGGCAGACGTATGCGCAAAACATCGAATAAATAAGTGACCCACATTACCTCTGATGCTGCTGCAGAGAGTGCACGATACTCCGCCTCGGTTGAGGACTTGGATACCCGACTTAGCTTATCTATACTCCAGGAAAAAAGATTCGGTCGTAGATAGACCAAGTAGCCCGTGATAGAGCAACCATATGTAGGATCATTAGCCAGTCAGAGTTTGAGTAAGCTTGTAATTTCAAAGCTCCCTTGTGAAATACCAAGCCTGTACTAAGTGTCCCATGTATGTATCATAGAAATTACTCCGAGACTGAAAATCCTGCTCAGTCGAGGTGTGCATGCGCTGGTAGACATGATTAACAGCAAATTGAATATCTGGGCGAGTGTTGGTAAGGTATTGTAGAGCGCCAGGAAGAATGGGAAAGAATGTCGAATTGAAGAATGGCTTGTCTTCCCCCTCGGTGCTAGACCGAACCGGAATGGGGGTAGGTGACGGGTTGCAATCTTCGACACCTGCCTGATGTAACAACTCCCGAGCATATTTTTCTTTAGAGAGTGTCAAACCAGTTGTTGTGCGCGTGATGTGTAGACCCAGAAAATAGTGGAGAGGGACCAAGATCCTTCACCTGAAATTCATGTTGTAGGGACTGAATAAGAGACTTGATTAGGGGAGGTGAGCTTCGTGTGAAAATAATATCATCAACATATAAGAGAAGAATGAGGGACCATGTGGGGTATGCATAAAAACAAAGCTAGTATCATGCTGATTATCCCAAAAACCATAGTCAAGAAGAAGGAAGCCAGAAAGGCGTTGGTACCATGCCCGGGGAGCCTGTTTTAGTCCATATAAAGACTTCTTCAAGTGACACACAAAATGAGGATATTTCTTGTTAATATATCTCGGGGGTTGATGCATATATATCTGCTCAGGCACGTGTCCATGGAGAAAGGCATTAGAGACATCGAGCTGATGGAGTGGCTAGTCATTAGTGACTCCGAGGGAAAGGATCACCCATATAGTCTAATGCTTCACAACAGGACTGAATGTTTTAGAATAGTCCAAGCCATACTTCTGAGTGTAGCCTTTTTCTACCAAACGTGCTTTATACCTAGAAATAAAACCATCAGCATTATGTTTAATTTTGTAAACACACTTACCACCAATAGAAACACGATCCCTGGGAGGTGGAACAAGCTCCCATGTGTTCTGACTCATCAAGGCCTGAAATTCCTCATCCATACCTGGAAACCAATAACTATTTTTGGAGGCCTCTTTGTAAGTAACCAGATCAGTCATAGGAGGTGTAGAGGACGAGATAGTGGCGGCATAAAGTTTGGTTTTGAAGATACCATTGCGGGCTCGGGTAGTCATAGGATGACGAGGTGGTGGTGGGGGTGAGGACGAGATAGGAGATGATTCGGGACTAGAGGGAATGTTACCAAATTGAATAGGGTTAGGCGAGTGGGTGGTATTGGGTTGGGGGCGGAGGGCTGTGTCGTTTGGGCTGGAGATAGAGGAATATGGGAATTGGTTTTCTTGGAAATCAACATGACGAGAGATGTGAATGCGTTTGGTGGACAAGTCATAGAAGCGATATCCCTTGGCCAATGAATCATAACCATGGAACATGCAGCGCCGAGATCTAAGTTAAAATTTGTTGTAAATTTCATGGTGCAAACACAGATAGGTTGGACAACTAAAAACGCGGAGAATGGAGTAATTAGGACAGGTGTGATAGAGGGCCTCATATGGAGATATGTTGTTAAGGGATCGCTTGGGCATGCATTTGATTAAAAAATTTGTTGCGGCTGAGGACTCTACCCAAAAAGTGATAGGAAGGGAGGCGGGGCATAGGAGAGTGACCAAAGTTCCAATAAGATGGCGATGTTTGTGTTCGGCAACACCATTTTGTTCATGGGTATAAGGAAAAGACTTTTGCTGTAGAACCCCAATTGTTGTAAAAACAGTCCCAATTTGTGATTAACATATTCACGCCCATTATCAGTTCGAAAAACTTTGATTTGTGTTTGAAATTGATTTTGAACCATATTTGGAAAGCTCTTAAAGTCATCATATGCCTCAAATTTAGGGAGGAGAGGATACAACAAACAAAACTTTGTAAAATCATCAATAAAAGTAATATAGAAGTGGTATCCCCCAAACGAGGGTATAGAAGTAGGTCCCCACATATCAAAATGAACTAACTGGAAAGGAAAAGTAGTAGTAGTTTGAGATACTGAGAAAGGAAGTCTATGAGACTTGGAAACAGAATAAGAATCACAGTGTTCGAACTAAGTATATGTGAAACCTAATTGAGACAGCAAAGACGCGGTAGTGCCACTGATATGGAGTAGCCGTGACAGCATTGATCACTATTGGAGGGACGAACGACGGAAGGGAGTACAAACCACGCTCACAGGGGCCCTAAAAAGCACTTGGTTGGTTGTGTTGTCTCGAATCATAAAATCCTTAGAGTTGAACAAAAGATTGTAGTTATTATCACGGGTAAATTGGTGAACGGATAAAAGATGAGATTTAAGGGATGGGGCATGGAGGAGGTTATTGAGATGGAAGACAATAGTGGGGGTGGTAAGATCACCTGAGCGAGTGTTCCTTATTGATTACATTATTTAATTCCTTAATTTTGTATGGCTTTAGTTATTTTTCTTATTTTCATTATTTTTTGTATCTAATTGTTTATTTTTTCAATTGGTAAGAATAATCTTTAATAAAACACAAAGAAATGGAGGTAGAAAGTAATTTTCAAATTTTAAATGAAATTTTCAAAAAAAATTAAAAAACAAAAAATCATAAAAAATAATCCTAACTTTCATTTTGTTGCGTAAAATAGGGATTCACATTAACCCGTCGTTAGAAACTTATCGGCAACCCAAAAATCATAAATTTTAGTAAAGTTTGAATTATTATGCATCACACTGAAAGGTGAAATTATTTTTGAACGACCATGTAAAGTTGGGATTATTTTAGATAATTTTTCCAAAAAATTAAAAGAACTCATGTTCATGTCATTTGAACTCTTTTTACTTTTAGTAAGGGAGATTTTTTAAGAAAAAATTATTCAAAATAATCACAAATTTATCTGGTCTTTAAAAAAATAATTTTACATTGCACTGTGATACGTAATAATCTCAACTTTACTGAAATTTGTGAGTTTTGGGTCACTATTAAGTTTCTAATGGCGGGTTAATGTAAATGCTTGTTTTACGCAAGAAAATGAAGATTATTCTTATATTATAAAAAATATAAAAATAAATATAACAAATAATGAAAATGAAATAGTTACAAAAAGAGTACAAAATTACTGAAATAAATAATCTAATCAATAGAAATTAAGCTCAAACTGCTAAGAAATACAATAAATATATACGGATCGAAGTAGTAAGTCTTAACATTTTACGCACTATAAACAGAGTCTTCATGTACTACTTACTTTTTAAAAGAACAAACCGTCCGATAAAGTTGATATTGTTCTAAATATACATTTCTAAAAAAATAAGAAGTGGTACGTTAATACTTTGTATAGCGCGTAAAATATTAAAACCCACCACTCTATATATATATTTTTTTATTTCTTACCACTTTCAAATTAGTTTCTATTAATTACCTTATTTATTTTATTAATTTCGTATCGTTTCAATTACTTTTCTCATTTTTTGTTATTTTTTATATCTATTATTTTTATTTTTTAAAATTAGGAATAATTTTTAGAAAAGAAAAAAAATGAAGGAGGTAGAAAATAATTTTAAAAATGTAGATGAAAATTTCAAAAAAACATAAAAATTGAAAATTCATCAAAAATAATCTCAACTTTCATTTTGTTACACAAAACATGTTGTTTCCATTAACCCGTTGTTAGAAACTTAATGACAGCCCAAAACTCGCAAGTTTCAGTAAAATTGGGATTATTATGCATCACAGTGAAAGATGAAATTTTTTGAAAGATCAGATAAACTTGAGATTATTTTGGATAATTTTTCTTAATTTTTTTACATTGGTAAGAGTGGGCCGCACTTCATATTTTTCATTATTCCTATTTTATTCCGATGTGTCGTCCACTCATCCCATTATTATGTACTCCGTATAATAGTATAAGATCAATTAATCTTTTCAGTTCAATGATTCAGATTCAAGGGGGCTACTCCATGTCGGGTTGGTTCAGTTTAGTTTTTTCGGTTCAATTTTTACCTAAAACCAAAGACAGAATGAAAGTTAATTTCGATTCTGTTTTTCAATAAAAAAAAGTGAATGATCGATTTTTCAGTTCGGGTTTTGCGGTACAATCCTCGTTTTTTTGGTTATTCGGTTTTTAGAAAAATATTTTCTTAAAGTATATTACATTTATCACATTAAAAAAAAATAAAAAATAAACTAAAAACACTGCAAGTATCCATTAACAAAATAGCAATAACAACTCCCAAAACTTGCAAATATCTATCCAATAATAAATTAGGGGAAAAGGATTTAAACAATTAAATGTGTAAAAAAGGAAGTAAACTTAAACAATTAAACCTACAGAAAATGGAGGCTTATCATAACCAAAATGTTTGACTTTTTCCTCATCTTGGAATTCTTAGTGGTAATTTACATATTTTGGTTTTTTTCGATTCGGTTTTCACATTCCAAAACAGAAAATGGAATAGTTTGGAAACAGTTCGGTTTGGTTTTTTGCATTCGGTTATTGTTTTTCAGTCCGGTTTATTTTTTGGCACAATTCAATTGATTTCGGATCGGTTTTCGGTTTTCCCCACCCACCCCAAACTCCATAGATGTCGCAGTTTCATTTGCTACTGTAAATTGTATATTTTACTTCCTATTTTTCAGTCATTACTACTTTGAACTCTCACCAGCCCAAATTTAGAGTACTCAGCCTTTTTTCCGTTTTTTTGCTTTTGCTTATCGTTCCTTTGCAATATGTACTCACCATGGTAGGGTTTTCAAAATATCAATTGTTCTTTAGAGGATAACATGTAAATTATTAATCCAAGAGTCAATACAAAGTACACATATACAGAATATTCATACAATGCATCGGGACATACCCCGATAAATCAAAGGCATGTCGTGCCATACAAGAAAGGAAGAGCAATACAGAAGTAAACTACTTTCGCCGTTCAGCTGCACGCCTCAGTCTGTAGAGCACGTCCAAGTCCACGGATTCGCCATAAGCATCTCGTATCTCACTTGGGTTGCTCACAATCAGTTGTCTCAGCTTATCTGGAGCGAGCTTTGGGCGTTTGGGATCATTTCGGTCCACTCTAAGCATGGCTGCTTTAAGAAGACGATCATACCACTCTTCCCGCTCTTGCTCTTGTTTAGCTTGCCACAATGTCTTGGTTGAGGTGAATGAGGAGCTGTTATCATTCTCCGTTGAGGGACATTCATCAACTACAACATCACCAGCCTTATCCCCGGTTTTTGGAGGTGCCGGGTCCCCTTTGTGCTTGAGTTCATGGCATGAAGGGTTAGCCTTGTCCACAGTCTCTTTAGCGTCTGACTGCGGTTTTTTTGTGGTTTTGGTGGAAGACTTAGCACGGTTTTTACCCACAGCGTTATCCAATGAAGGTTTGCTTGAGGTAGAATCATCATGGTCCTTCGGCACCGTGGAGGTAGAAGCAGAGTCACCACCCACATCAAGTATGGCCTCAACAGAAGAGGACAGTTGGGTACACTGGTCACCAGGAGGATCAGCCCCCTTAAGAGTACCTTCAACAATAGGCTGTTCACCTTTCGAAGTTTTCTTTTTCTTCTTCCGTTTAGCTTCAGGAACCTGGTCAGTACCTGCTGCCAACAAGGTGGCAGTGGGTTCAGTTTGGACTCCCTCATTGCCCATCTTTTCCACCACATCTGTCTTGGCTGCCTGAGTCGAAGGAAGGGCCCGGGCTACTGGTTTAGGCATGGCAGCAACGCTGTGAATGGCCTCACTGCCTTCACCAGTGTTGTGCTTCCTAGCCCTCCTTCTCCTAGCTCTTTTGGGGTTTTGGCCACGAGAAGTTGTGGTTTTAACCCCCTCATTAGTCGGCCTAGCCTTGCTTTTAGTGTCCTTAGTAGCTTTGCCAACAAATTCTCCATTTTTCTTGAGGTGTAGGGCACGGAGAACCCTACAATCCAATTGGTTGTGTCCAAACTTTGTGCAATGGTAGCAATATTTTGGGAGGCCTTCATACACAACTTTTTGGATATACTTGTCCCCATCAGGAAGACAAACCTCAAAGGACAAGGGGAGTTCTTTCGACATGTCAAGTTTGATCAACATTCTACAAAAACTCACCCTCCCCCTTCTCTTTGTTCCTTGGTCAGTGCACAAGGGGGTTCCCACCCTAGACCCCAAGCAATCAAAAGCAACTTTATTCCAGCATTGCAAAGGTACATCAATAAACTTGACCCAAATGTCAACCGTCATAAAAGCATCAAAATTAAAGCGAAATCCCTCCGGAAGAATGCGAAGTAAAAGGGTCTTACCAAAGAGCATGTAAGGCCCATTATGGAGAACCATCATTCGGTCTTCATCACAAAGAAACTGGAAGATTACCCACCCTCTTTCGTGGGGAAGGAGTTTGCACTGTACATGCCATGAAGAAATGAGTCCTTCAATAGCTTTGATACCCGGGAACCGGCCAGTGAAACAGCCCACCAAGCAAAAGCCCCAATCATCCTCTAATGAAGTATATCCCTCATATGGGATGACAACCATTTCGCCCACATCCACTTTGTTTAAGGGAATACCCTCAGCTGGGCTTCGGTTCTCTCTAAACGCAGAAGAGGATGTTGGTTGGGTTGACAGGGGCACGTTGGTATTTGGGTGTGGTTCACTCTTTGGTGGGGGTCTGGGCATTACCGGATGCATGGAAGATGAACACTCAGAGTTCTCAGCCTGAGTAGCATTACGTTGAGCCTTCCCTTTCTTTGATGCCACTGTTTTAGGTCCCCGTCCAGCAGATAAGGACCTGTCCTCAGTGTCCAAAGTGTCAAAGGAGGGCAAAGTAACGCTAACAGCAGTTAAGGAAGAATCAGCAGTTTGTTCACTATCAATGTGTTCCTCATTGGCAGTAGGTTCATTACCAGGAGTTAACCCATCACCAGCATGTCTAACGTAACTGACAGTGGGTAGACAAGAAAGAAGTTGTTTACCACTGCCTGAACCATCAACAGAAGCAATGGCAGGAGACTTGCAATTTTTCCCATCACTAATTGGCGTTCCATCAAAGACAAAGTTGGTGCTGTTTTGTTGGTTCTTTTTTTTAGTGTTCCTCTTACCTTTGTTCCCCATAACAACAGACAAAAGCACTAGCACCACGCAACCAAAACAGACCAGAAGCTAACACAAAAAAACCAGTTCAGGAAAAGACCAAAAACAGCAGCACAATGGGAAAAAGCCAATGTTCAGAGAGTTCAATCCACGTAAAACAAATTCAGGAAGCCAACAAGATGGAGTGGAACACCTTTAAAATATGCCCAAGAGTCCAAGAAAGGTGGAGCAGACCTGAGGAAAGTCGAGTTTCAGAACCGCAAAGTGAACAGTGGTCCGAATCTCAATGTTTGCCCAAAAGTGAAGATTCTTCGTTTGGAATTGAAACCCAATGTAAGAACCTCACTTTCTCATTCAAGTCCCAAAATCAACAGGATAGAGCTCGTATATCAATCTTCAGTTGAAGACCATCCTGTAGGAACTGAAGGGGTACGCACGGACTGTTCTTCCAGCGTCGCTGCCCTAGAGAGAAACCTTTTGACTAGGGAGAGCATTGGTTCGATTCGGTCGGTTTCGGCCCAAAACCGAAGTAACCAAATATAGAAATTACTCAGAATAACTGACCGAAACCGAAACGAATTAGTGTTAAAACCGAACAAACCGAACCGAGGAAAATTGATCGGGTTCGGCCGGTTTTGAAAAAACCAAAAGCTTCATCCCTAAAAGGCTAAAACCTACTGCATACTGGATGCTGCAAGAATAGAAGCATATTATCTTATCCCAACGAGAAGAAGATAAACAATTAGAACACGGACCACATATTGGCGGACACATACACCACACAAAATCGAAAACCAGGCAATCGGCACAGGAGTTTACAATCGACGGAAAAGGTGAGGTAGATCCGGCAATGATTGAGTCGAGGTTTTGAGGAAGCAGACGGGAGGCGGACGATGTAAGGAGTCGAGGTCTTGAGGTTGTAACTTTCTCTGTAAAATATTTGGGTTGGGAGACTAATGACTAGTGACCTGCCCACTTTGGGATTTTAGAGTAATGGATTGCGCTGTAACTGAAAATATTTGGGTTGGGCTTAGATGTATTCAATAAACATATATGGGCTCAGTTATTTGGTCGGTTTCGGTTAACAAGGCCCAGAACCGAAACCGATAACCCGAATTAACCGAATATTTTAAATATTAAAACCGAAAACCGAAACCGAATTTAAAATTGCGGTCGGTTCGGTTAAATTGAATCGGTTAATCGGCCGGTTCGGTTCCCAAACGAGTGATCCTCTAGTTTGGTCTACGAATTCCGTTATTACATTTTTATCCAATCACCGAATATTCATGTTTCACAAGTCCATACTAATAGGAGATCAATAATCATTCTAATCAGTAGGTTTATCATGCATAATTATTCATAACGATTATTTATCATAATGACCATTTAACATAACATTTAATAACAAACAGCGACCTAGTCTCAAGTGTTAACACTCAAACTTACCGTCATGCATCATATAATGTTTTATATGCCAAAAACATCATTTTTATTGTAAAAAATGATATTTATATTGTTCATAATTAATTGGTATAAAAAATAGGGTTTCATTGCTCAAAAACCATGTTTTCTAAAGAATAATCGATTAATATATGATAGGAAAATCGATTAATTGCTACTGGTTTGAATTTCTTTAGTGGAAAAATGTAAAAATCAATTTTTATTATTCAATAATCGATTTTTATACTTAATAATCGATTTTTATAGTATAAAAATCGATTTTTCCTCTGCTGGATTCGTTTTCTTCAGCTGACGAAAGTCTAATCGATTTATTTATGAAAAATCGATTTTGCATCGTCTTCTACCTCGAGCCAACTTCCGGAAATGTCATTTTTAGTCACCAAACTTCAATTAAAGTATATAGAAAGATTCTCCAAGGTTCATAGATCATTTTGGTACCATTAGTTCGAAGTTTTAACAACGATTTCAAGGTTTATGATTCTTGGTTTTTCAAACATGTCAAACAGAAAACTCAACCAAACGACCGTTTATGAACATAGAAACGATCTATACGAACATTCTAGTCACTAGATATATCTACGAGCTTACCTCGAAGCTTATCGGAAGTTTTGAGAATTTTCCGGCGAAACTTCTGGGCACGATTACTCCCAACTCTAGGGACTTCGGCGGCAACCAACAACTCCAGACTACTCTCCTCACTTTCAAGATTCTTATGGACTAAACTTGAGAAGGAATGATGCATGTTTGAAGGTTTTGAGTACTCCTTATATACGAGTTCATGAAGGGGAAAAGGACAATGATGAGCTGGTTCAGGACAGTGAATCTAACTGTTCATGAATCTCAATATGTCATATCGTTAGCAGACTGCGATATGAGCGAGTACGTCGTTGTCTGTAGGAAATTCGAATCCATCCTTGCTGTACAAATTTCGACTGAGGATAACTACCCCTTTTCAAAGGTCAGGTTTTCAGATCCTATATATATCACGATTGTGGCAAGAGTATCTCACATCCTCATATTATGGAAGGAACTTCTCGAACTTTTCCTTACACCATAAAATTTGTTGGTCTACTTGGTAGTCCTACTCTTGGTAGAAATCGAAAGTTCATGGCTACGGCGGTGGATTTAGGAAGGGAATTGGTAAGGCGAAAAATTAGACTTACCTATTGGACTTAGAGTTGCATTTGTAATATTACTTTATGTAATTTCAGATGAATTTATGTTGGAATAATATTGTCCATGAACATTATGAGTTAACCACAAATATCAAACATTTTCTCAAGATCAGAATGCATCATGTAAATATCAAACATTTTCTCAAGATGGGTCAAATGAAAGATTTTATTATACAATGGTTTCAACACACGTAGGTTCAAGAAAATACGAATATTCTTGAGATACAAATTGAAAGATAATTTCTTGCTTACATAAGGTTTCTACATTTATTCAATATATCCTCGAGCCCTTGTAGCACTTTAGGATCGTCACAGAGTATCATCCTTGGGTGGGATTCTTTGAATTGTTTCGTGTTTTAGAACGTTGACTTGTTCCTGAGCGAACATGTTGATTTTGGACAGAAGTAAATGAATATGATTTAGGGTTAGAGGGACATTCTCTTCAAAAATGTCTAGGTTTACCACAACCTAGACATAATCCTTGGGCAAGCCAGCAGTCTCTTGGATGGTGCCTTTTACAAATATTACACTTTGGATGTTTCCATACCCTCATTTTGTTCATTGATGACGTCGATTGAACTGTCATTGATTTTCCCTTTTTCGAGTGTAGGGCACTATCAATTTCTTGCACGGGTCTCTTCCCACTTGTATTTCGTCGTTCATTTGAATTGGCAACCTCAGTCTTCAGACTTTTATAGTAATCACTTAGATCTTTGTTGGATTTGGAGATTAAGTCGTATGCCTCAATGAAATCCTCAGTTCGGATTGTAGATACATGCGGCCTGAGATCTGGTCGAAGTCTTTTGCGAAACTCCTCAATGCAGTCAGCCGTTGTGCTCACTAGTGTGGGTGCAAATTGAGCGAGGTGGACAAATTTTTGTCGGTATTCAGGGAGTGTCATATCTCCTTGCTTCAATTGAATAAATTCAGCACGCTTCTCTTCACGGAATCGGGCTAGGATATATTCCTTCTTAAACGCCGAATCGAAGAATTCCCAAGTCCAAGGTTTGGGTGTGTTTGGATTTTCGCCAGTGCGTTTCCACCATTCATAAGCTTCCTTGCGGAGCAATTGAGATGCAAGTTTTGGATGGTCAACAAAAGGTATGTTCAGATTTTGTAGTACACGAGCGGTTTGCTCGATCCATTCAAGAGCAATCTAGGGCTCGGCAATTCGATCTCCTAGAAATTCCTCAGCGCCATTATCTTTCAAGGTTTTGAAAGTGATCAAACGAGTTGGTGGTGGAGGTGGTTGAAACATAGGGGCATGAGTCATTTGTTGCAAGAAGTTTACCATTAAGGTAGGTAGCATAGCATCAGGTTGACCTCCAACATTTTGATCATTATGGGGAATATTTTGTGGGTTCACTGGTTCATTTTGAATAGTAGGTGTGAAATTAGATGCTTCGGTATGAACATTCTCATGTTCATTGTTTGGCACTTGGTTACTTTGACCATGAGCAGTTCCTTGACTCATTCTACAAAAACAGAAATTCCTTCATTAGGACTCTCTACTTGAATAGGCGAGTTGACAACAGATATTTATTCAAACAGACTTCATCGATGTTTAAGTCACTAGTTATTTCACAACAAGGTTGAGCTATTTATAGCTTCTAACAAGTAGGTTCTTTGACCAAGAAAGTTGTCAGTTTGTAGCAAAGGATAGCGACTTTTGATTGTCAGTTCGTTCGAGTTTCTTAATAGGGATCTGATAGTATCCTGACCGTAAGTCAATCTTAGAGAATACAATGGATCCTCTAAGCTGATCAAATAAGTCATTGATACGAGGTAAAGGATAACGATTTTTAGTAGTTAGTACAGAGTCCCATCGATCCATCTTCATTTGCGTACTCATTCGAGATGAACTCGGTCGGTTTAATAATCAGCTTTGATTTCACCTATATGAGGTTAACATCATTGGTCTTCAGTTGAGGAATTCTTTATCACAAGTTGTCAATAGAAACGACGTTCAGTCAATTCGTATTAAGGATAATGTCAATTTCCTTGTAGTGTATTTCAACGAGGTTTTGTAAGGAATTGTTGATTAACGATTGATTTCGATTCACACAGTATAATCGCATGTTGTGTTGTAATGAACCAGACATCAGAATGGGATACTCTAGATAACAGAGTTTATTGATTCTAAACATTCGTGTTTGAATCAGCGATTAGATTGTCTTGAGTCCACATGAGGATCTTTGACATCAGCTTCAAAGATGTTGTTCAACCTAAATCAACACTAATCGTTCTTCAGGGTCGTCTCACTTGCATGCAACTTTTACGGTACAGATTAAATTCACCATTCACGATGCGATGTGTACGCTAATAACGTGTCAGGAGGTTATACACATTTCGTTTACTCTTTCGTCTCTTCACCGAGTACGAAGGTTTAACTTGAGTCTAGCTCGATATAGTTTTTGTACCAACAATTGTTATCTAATGAGAATTTAACTTAATCAACATTTACTAAGTAAATTCTCATACCTTTCCTGGAGCAGAGGGATGCGAGAGTCGTGGATGTGACCAACATTTTTTTTAAAATCAAATTTTGATTCGAAGATCTGTTTTAAAACCATTTGCTCCGATACCAAACTATAACACCCTAATCCGTCCAGGTCTGCAGCCCCTTTCGGACTAAAGTATTTAACTTGGTAATCGTAAAAATTTAAAACTTTTCAAACACTTTTATTTATCACAATAATATTTTTCATATACAGTACGGAGTATTCTACAATATTGCGGAAGCGAATTTAATATTGACACATCCATCCCGATAATCTCGCCCATCTGCTGCCAGGATCACATTGTTCTTTCTGTTTATCTGCATGTAGCAAATAAAAGACACTACACGCTCAACGGTAAAGCTGAGTAAGCATATCTAATGCGTCGAACATCCACATAAATGTTAGAATAAAGGCCCAACGCTAGAGGGGGGATGAATAGCGTTTAAAACAAAATCGCAGGAAATTAAAACGAGAGCGTTAAAGTAAAGAGCGTAAGGAAGGAGCACACCGAATTTTATCCTGGTTCACCACAATGTGTGGCTAATCCAGCCTCCCGAGAGACTCTCTCAAGCTACACTAACTCCGTTAAGCTTAAGGGTGCTTAACAAACCGATACAACTTGAGAACCCGAGTCACACGAGCCTCAACGCCTTTGCTCGGAGATACCGCACTCCAAGACTTCTCACGAAGGAACAAGGAACTTCCTTCGAGTTTACAACAAGGGAACAACCTCCCTTAAAGTGTATGAAAACACTTAAACACTCAGGAATAAAACTCTCACAAAGAGTAGATATGAGTGAACTAGTAAACGCTCAAGAACACGACAATTTCTTCAAGAATTGGCTCTCAAATAGCTAAGAAAAATAGGAATGCTTATGCAATGAAAGAGTATTGAAATGTTGAAGAATTGTGTGT